GCCTAACAAAGACAGGACATTCTCTCTTGTCTGGAGTATGTAAAAGTTTGTTAACTGTTGTCAGTGTTCTGTTTACTTTATATACTTTTCTACACTTCTGAATTCACCGTGACAGCTCAAGGAGATTACTTGTGGAGCAAAGTTAATTCACTTTCTGAGCTTCAGCTGCAATATTTGCTTGAAAACAAATGAAATGCCAAATACCATTAATTTTTTTTTCATTTTTTTTAGCATGAATGTTTTATGTCTCTAAGGTATTCTATTTCCACTCTGAATCAAGGATAGATGTTCAAAATGAAATATCAAGGCAATACTTGGTTTGTGTGAGGCTGTGTTTGGGTTTTTTAGATTATCTAACTGGGTTCCTAATGCCAAATGGGAAAATTCACAGTTGAGGTTTTAGCATATTTTTATACTTGCTTTGTATTTAGATAGCCATGTTGTCTTAAGAACTAGAAAATCATTCCTGTGCAAAAGATTACTGAACACAAAAGGTACAGCTAAAGCTTTTTATTTCTACAGAATCACAGGATGGTTGAGGTTGGGAGGGACCTCTGGAGGTCATCTTGCACAAACCCCCTGCTCAAGCAGGTCCACCTAAAGTAGGTTGCCCAGGACCATGCCCACACAGCCTTCTAGATCTCCAAGGCTGGAGACTCCACAATCTCCCTGGGCAATCTGTGCCAGTGCTCAGTCAGCCTCACAGTAAAAAAAGTGTTCTCTGATGATCAGACGGAACCTCCTGCATTTCCATTTGTGCCCATTGCCTCTGGTCCTGTCACTGGACACCACTGGAAAGAGGCTGGCTCTGTCCTTTTGCACTCTCTCTTCAGATATTTGTATAACTTGATGAATCCTCCCCCTTGAGCCTTCTCTTCTCCATGCTGAGCAGTCCCAGCTCTCTCAGCCCTTCCTCACAGGAGAGGTGTTTAATCACCTTTGTGATCGTCAGCTGAACTTGTGCCAGCTCTCTTTATAAGGTCAGCATTTTAGTTGCAGGAACAGAAACAACAGTTTAAAACCATTCCAGACTTTTTAATGCTCTCTTGATTTGTCTTCCAGCAATTCATGGAGGATAGCAGCATAACTGCTTGTTACAATGAACTGGTTCAAATAGAACATGGGGAAGTGAGATCTCAGTTCAAATTACGGTATGTAGAAGTGTAAGGAACAGCAAACATCAACTGCTTGGTCTACATGATAGTATTGTTACTTTCTGCTTCTTCCCAGCTACACGTGTGTCTGCTAACATACTTATAACCTTATTTCCTTCTTCTGTTATTTTGTAAAGGACAAATTTAAGTGCCTTAGTAACTAGTACCCTGAGAAAGGTTGATCTGTGTATGTTTCATTCACTGGTGGTCTAAATGACAGCTTTCCTTAATACAAAATGCAGTACATGTCCTTTTTTCTGATGCTTGCTTGTGTCCCATATGTCTTCAGTGCACATATTGAATTTGGCAATGTTCTAGCAGCCATTACTACCAGCATTACAGTCAGGACAAGATCCTTTAGCAGAAATATTGCAGAACAGCAACTTTGGCTCATTTAATTGCAAGGGTGGCATTTTAAAAATGCTGTCTTACGTGTAATGTTTATGGGCTGCAAATCTACATGATCCTAAAATTTCAGAAGTCATTCTTGATCTCCTGTGTGATTTCATATTTGATAGCTTGAGTTGAATGCAATCTTGATCTGGCTCTTCATAACCTGAGTTTTTATTTTCTTTCTTAGGCAATGAGTAGCAGAGGTTTTTTAGCTTAGTGAGAAATTAAATGCCCTTCATTCCCTTATGACTTTTTCTTCAATTTGACTAATTTTATATTTTATACAGGTGCTTATACATGCATGTAAATATGTTTGCAGTACAACTATATGAAAAAAGAACCTTGAAGCAGAGAAGATGTAGTTCCCTGGCTGTCATAAATTAATTCCAGTTCCATCTGCAGAAAATACTATTGCTTCTCTACAGGTTTCAGTGTCTCTGTTTAAGAAGCAGATTTTTCTCTTTGCAAACTGATCCCAAAGTGACTTCATGTTCAAGTGACTATGCATGCAGAGTGCAATTACAGTAAAATTTTCAGGGGGAAAAAAAAATATAATTTGGGCTTACATGATTTTTAACAGGTGTTTTCCAAAACTC